AACTCACTCTGTAGACCAGGCTGGCCTCAAACTCACAGAGATCCACCTGCCTCTGCCTCCTGAGTGCTGGGACTAAACATGTGCGCCACCATACCTGGCTCAGTGCCTCCATTTGTAATTTTTTTTTACTTTTTTTTTTTTTTGTTTTTTAAAGACAAGGTTTCTCTGTAGTCCTATCTGTCCTGAAACTCACCCAGGCTGGCCTCAGACTCACAGAGACCTGTCTGCCTCCCGAGTGCTGGGATTAAAGGTGTGTACCGTCACACCTGACTTCTCCATTTTAAAGTGACAATTAGAATGTTTCTTTCCAGTGTACACACATGTGTGCATGTACATGGCTGCATGTGTGCCGCAGTACACATGTGGAGATCAGAAGCTAACTTTTGGAACTTGGTTCCCTCCTTCCCCCATGTGGGTCCCAGCAATCAAGGCTCAAATCCCCAGGCTAGGTGGCATGGTCCTCCCTGAGCCCTCCTATAAACCTTTCTTGATGAAGTTCAGGGCACTGACATACTACATAGGAAACATAATAAATATACTGCCTTTTGGATCCTTTTACTGGGTGTTTTTTTTTTTTGTTTTTTTTTTAAATTTCAAGTCTTCCAGTACAGCAAATGATGGCCTTGAACATCCACAGTACCGGGTTTACAGAATGCTCTGGTGTGACAAAACTTTTCCTGGGAAGACACAACACACTCACGCTAGATAGGGAACGCATGACAGACCAAAGTCCAGACACCACCAAAGTCCAACTTGCTGACCAATGAATGAGTTTTACTGGGACTACAACAGGATCATGGTGGAGGGGTTACTTACAGGATCATGGTGGAAGGGTTACTTACAGGAGTATGGGGGAGGGGTTACTTACAGGAGTATGGGGGAGGGGTTACTTAGAGGAGCAGACATGGACTCAGACAGCTGAGTCACCAAGGCCCATCACAGTGTGGCTGACAGCTCACAAAGCTGGGAACCTGGAGCACACTCACAGCCTTCAGGCAGCTCAAGAGGCTGGAGAGGGTCCTTTCCAGGTGTCTCAGTTGGTCTAAACCTTTTCCTGACAGCTGGCTGGTTCCCCGCTTCTTCCTGGCTTCTGGTCTGGCCTCAAAGCTTTCTTTGTAGCCCAAAGGAATTGTTTACCCGGACAGGGAGGGGCTTAGTGAATCTGGTCAGTTTCAGGGAGGTCTTGAGGCATTTCTTTTAGTTGTTTACCTTCCTGTTTCAGGCGCTCCCCTGCAGGAGGCAATGTTTGGACCTTGGAGGAAACAGTTACACACCCCAGGCACCACCAAATCAGGCTTATGTGGTGCTAGGGACCTAGCTTAGGGCTCTGCGCATGCTCCCAGGCACTGACTTACATCTCCAGCCTTCACTTTTATTTCAAAGCATGGTGCGATGTATCAAAGGTCCTAAGGAGCTGGCATCTTTTCCTGTTTTGTTTTGTCCTTTTGAGACACCACTGTTCTCATGTAGCCCAGGCTGGCCTTGAACCTCAAATTCTTCTGCCTCCCTGTCTCAGGTACTGGGATTACAGATATGTGCAAGTGCACTGACTTGTGTGTGTGTGTGTGCACACACAGCTGGTGGGATGGGTATCTTGAGGGACACATTGGGGAACAGTTTTCTCGAGGGCACACTACCATTCATGTTAGCAGATGGCCAGGGCTTTACACTCAGAGCTGTTCTGGGGATAGAATTTAAAAAGATAGCCGAGGAAAATGAAAACTAGGAGTATTTTGACAATGCACCTTCTTCCAGTTAAAACCTATTCAAGCTGGGTGTGGTGGCTCATATCTATAATCCCAGCACCCAGGATGCTGAGGCAGGAGGATTGACATAAGTGTGAGGTCAGCATGGGCTAAAGAGAGTGACCCCATCTCAAAAAGCCAATCAACCTACTAACAACAACAAAAAATAATAGCCTGTTTAGGAAACTCTTCCTGGGTGATTTCCACAGCCCAGCTGCTGCCTTAGGTAGTAGGATGTTTGGGGTAAAAAACTGAGGCCAGCCTGGGCTACAGGGACCCTGCTTCAAAACTACAATAAAAAAAGTGCTTTTCAGGTGGGTGGTGGTGACACACACCTTTAGTCCCAACACTCAGGAGGTAGAGGCAAGCAGATCTCTGTGAGTTCAAAGCCAGCCTGCTCTACAAAGAGTTCCAGGACAACCAGAGTGGTTGCACAGTGAAACCTTGTCTCAAAACAAACAAACAAACAAACACAAAACAAAACAAAAAACCCAAAACAAAAAAATAGAAAGTGCTTTTCAATAATGGAACTCATTTTAAATTATTAGTAAATACACTATTATATTCAAAGATATTATCTTTCTTTATGATCACATGAGTAAGGTGAGCTTGCAATTCCTGCAATGCTCTGAAAGAATCATTTACTTCTAGAAATGTCCTCTTCAATGTTCAAGAAATATTTAGTACTGGAGAGAAGGCACAGTGGTGAAGAGCATGGATTATTCTTCTGGAGGACATAAATTTGGTTCCCAGAAGCCACATTTGATGACTCATATCTATCTGTAACGTCAGCTCCTGGGAATCCAACATCCTCTTCTGGTTTCCGAGGGTAGGCATACAAATACACATAAATAAAAATATAATAAAATAAAATGAAAAAGAAAGATTCAGCCAGGCAAGGTGACATACATCTGTAATCCCAGTTCTAAGGAGGCAGAGGCAGGAGGATTACAATGTGATTGAAGTCAGCGTGTGCCATGTAGCAAGGCCTTGTGCTAATAAAAAGCAAAAATAAAGCCGGGCAGTAGTGGCACACGCCTTTAATCCCAGCATTTGGGAGGCAGAGGCAGGCGGATCTCTCTGAGTTTGAGGCCAGTCTGTTCTACAGAGCGAGTTACAGGACAGCCTGAGCTGTTACACAGAGAAATTCTGTCTCAAAAAAAAGCAAAAATAAAGACTCTATTTGTCTCGTGTATGTCAGGGGACCTTGGGTGAAAATCAGGCTTTCTGTGAAGGACTTGGAGGTAAGAACGCAGGAAGGTCTCAAGGCAGGAAACCGGAAAGGAGAGCGTGGAATTTTCAGCACCAGGGACAGAGCCACAGACTCCCTCAGGACCCTGGACAGAGCAGTTGATCCAGCCTGCTGGGGAAACCCAACTACGCTGGAGTCTGACCCAGAGAAGGCTGAGCGCTCACCTCGGTTTTTCACTTCCCTTCAGAAGACCTCAACCACCTTCTTCTGAACCTCAGGAGCAGAGGTACAGGGAACAGATATTTCAAAGGCGCTACTTAACGGGAGCGGGCTATGCAAAAAATGGCTTTGGAGGTTACACTCGGAGAACTCCGAAAAGATTTAATAGTCCCCAGTTGAGAATAGGGCACTGTTAATGATACTTACATTTTTTCAGCTAAGTAGCAGAAGGCTCACCATAGTCTTTTTTATTCCCCAAAGTCCTATCTCATACATCTTACGCTCAAAACTTTAGTCTCGTGCAAAGCACTACGTAGGAAAGAGGGAAATATTCTTCAGAGCCACTGATTCTCCTACCCTCTTCCATTTCCCTACCCCATCATCTTTTTTCTCGTTCTCAGATACACACGTGCCCATGAGCGCGCACCGACACACACACACACACAACTGCAGCGTGTGAACCACAAGATATTCTACACATTTGTGGAGAAGACTGAATTCAGGGTAAGCGGATGCCCCTGAAAGCAGGCTCTGTCCCTTTAAATGGGTTGTAGCCGTGGGGGAGGGGAACTGACCGGAGCTGGCATTGTCCAGTTTGAACTGAGCACCGGAAGTGAAGGGGCAGGGCCAGGGCCGTGCACTGAGCCCCGGGCCATTGTCCATCTCTGACCAGGGCAGCGGCCACCCCCCGGTCCACCCTCTTTATCTTCTAGTAGGGAGTTTACCTCTCCAAATGAGAAGCCTCCCTATGCAGTCCTTCCAGCAGCCGCACCACCCGGAGGGTAGCACCATTTGGGATGGTGACTGAGAACAGGAGGGTCTGGGAATCAGAGTGTCCCGGGTACTGGAGGAAGTGCCTCCACCCACAATCTATTACCCTCTGCCAGCACTGGGACAGGACGGGACGCGGCGGACAGGATGAGAAGGCAGCTATCATAGAGGGCACCCTTCAGGGTTCCCCCATGCTCTCCCAGGAAGCTCTCTACCTGGGACCAACTTTAGATGCAGGCTTGGAAGGAAGCAAAGGATTCTTGGCACAGAACCAATTAGGAGCTTGCTTCTGATTGGGACAAACCCAGAAACTGATGTTGCGACTTGGAGATGGAGACATCTAGTTGTAGTTAGAGGCAGGCCGAGTTTGAGAGGCGGCCCCTAGGTTAAGACAGATCAGCTCTGTGGGGGTCTCCAGCCGTTTCCCTGCACCCCATCCTGGCTTCCTAGTGTCCAGAACTCCAGGTCTATCTAAGCACACGGGGGTGGGGGGTGAGAGCGGGTCAGCGCCAAGCAGCCGGGTCAGCTCGGAGGCCTGAGGGGGAAGGGGGGGAGGGGCGCTGAGGGGCTGGGGGAGGGGGAGGGCTCATCCATTTCTCCCTTGACAGGTGGTTTGTGTTTCTGATTGGACAGCGCCACCAGGCTCACACCTCCCTCCCCCAACTCTCTGGAATGTATAATTATCTGCCCGGGGGGTGGGGGTGGGGTGTATGTATGTGTGTGTGTGTGTGTGTGTGTGTAGAGTCACGTGGTTATAAAACTACCCCCCCCCAGTTCCCCCACCTGTGTCTGCTTTGGGTATCCGCACTGAGTCCTCAAAGTGCAGGATCCCAAATTCTGGGGGACTCAAGACTTCTAGGGCAAAAGACCCCCATCCCCCAGATATGCGTATATGGAGGGGGTGTCAAGTCTCAAGGTTCTGGGAAGGGACACCCCAGAGGTGTCAGAGACCAGAGCAGTGGGGGAGGGCTGGAGCCAGAGCCGGAGGGAAAGGGAGGGGGAAGGAGAGAGGGGAGGGGAGGGGGCTGCCCGCGGGGGGTTGGGTCATTGTCTTTTAGAATTTGGGAGCCTTTGAAAAGCCGTGGGCCCTCCCACCGCTATTGTGCGGGGGAAGATGTAGCAGCCTCTTCTCCGAACCACCCCTTTGCCTCCGGACTTCTCTGGGGCCAGCAGCCGCCCGACCTGGGGCCCGGGGCCACGGGCTCAGCCGACGACCATGGGCTCGGTGTCCAACCAGCAGTTTGCAGGTTCGAGCTTGCGATTCAGCGGGCACACCTTCGGGGGCAGGGCGCCCAAGAGCTAAATGGAAGGGAGGTGGGAAAGTGTCCCACGGACTTGCCCGCGGGATCCCCAAGTCCCTGCGGCCCTCCTGCTTCTTGGGGCCATCTCTGGAGCAGGGAACCCTGGTGTTCCAGTGGCTTGTGCGCCGAGCCTATGGGGGCGGAGGGAGAGAAGAGGAGGGGCCTGTCCCGCCGCGTGTGCACGGGCAACATGTTGTGGGAAGACAAGCAAAACTTTCGGGGCATCAGCATCCTCGGTGTAACCTTGGGAAGGCAGCCAGGACAGGTTTCTTCTTCCCAGCTGTTGGGTAGCTGCTTCCTCCTGGGTGTCTATCCGCGGGCTCAACGCCGAGATCTCCCAGACGGGTCCCCCAAGAGGGCCCTGCGATGGCTTTGCCCCCAGCTGATCACCTGGCCCTCCCTGTCTCCAGGTGGCTGCGCCAAGGCAGCGGAGAAGGCGCCCGAGGAGGCGCCGGCTGACGCGGCCCGGGCGGCAGAGGAGCCGCAGCTGCTGCACGGGGCCGGCATCTGTAAGTGGTTCAACGTGCGCATGGGGTTCGGCTTCCTGTCCATGACCGCCCGCGCCGGGGTCGCGCTCGACCCCCCGGTGGACGTCTTTGTGCACCAGGTGAGACTGATTCTGGTAACTTGGCTAGAAAAATAGGAAGCCTGGGAGTTGTGTGTACGGGCTTGGCGGATGGCCGCCCCTGTTGGATTGGAGGAGATAAAGGACCCTCATTGTGCGTCCCTATCTCTGCCGGGACACCCCAATTTTGAGTTTCGAGTAACTACGGTGGAGCAAGGAGGAGGCATCACTGATTACCAGCACCCCTCCCCGCCCCCTTCCGGGAACCCCTCCGGCTTACCACGTGTCTATTACCTCTTTCCCCTGGGAAGGGAGCAGGGGGCAGGGAGGTGACCCCATGTGGCAGAAACTAAGGTTGTATTGTGCTTGCCGGTGGGGGAGGGCGAGCAGGCCGACCAGGGAAGCACATGCAGGGCCTGAGCCGGGCGCTAGCGCCTTGAGTCCTGAAGGTCTGAATGCAGTTTCCAGGGCAGGAGGGTGTGGGGAATTTGCCACCCTACCTATGGGCATGAACCTGTGAAGTCAGGTTCTTCTCCTATTTTAAGTGCAGACCACAGTCAGGTGACCACCCAAAAAGCCAGGTCCCGTGGCCAGTGTAAGTTTGGCAGATCCCGGAAGGATCAATGTGTGGGCCGAAAAGCTCCCCTAGAGGGCTGGTTACAGTTCAGGACCGGCCGGCTCCTCTGCTGTCCACCAGGTCTTGCCAGGAAGGAAAACCGTAAGAGCCCAGGCCTCCTCCATTCCTGGCTGGGCCAGTCTAGGAGACTTGGGTCCGAGCAATCCCAAGTTCTCAGTTAAAGAAGAGGAACGCAGTGGGGAGTGAAATTCAGTGTCGAGGGGCCAGGCGGTGCAAGGAGGCTGGCCTCTGGCCCTATTCTCCTCCGCTTGGCATTTATGGCCCCAGACAGTCATTGATTGCTGTCCCTAACATTCCTAACCCTAAACAAGGAAGGGAGTAGAGACCCCAGGTTTCCCTCTAACATGCCTTTCCCTCTCAACATCCTCCGGGCATTCAAGTGGTCCCCGGGCCTCGGTGGGAAGGAGGTTCCCTCTTCATTTGCTGGTTAAGGCTGGACCTGGAAAGGAGAAATTGCTAATCCCTGGCCCTGGAGCTTGACACCCGGTCCGGGCAGGGAGGGGTTACTCCAGGGAGGTTAGCTTTAGGAGCTGTGGGGGAGGGGAAAGGAGGATGTGGGGATTAAGAGTTGGAGCCTGAGGGATGGCGTTCTTGAGGGGGAGGGGAGGGGAAGGAGATGCTGGATCGGCTGGTTGGAGGCTGGAGGCTGGTGGCTGCTGTGAAGACTGAACACTGCCCTCCAGTCAGGAGGTTGAGGAGGTGAAACTAGGTAGATTTGGGTTGAAGGAATTTGGGGACCAGCTCTTTGCTGTTGGTGTATTAGGGTCACTGGGCTTCTGGAACATGTGTTTAAGGGACCTGCAGCAGTCAGTACCCTTAGCTACTTACTTAAACCTACCCCCCCCCATCACTACCACCAGACTGCTGGTTTCTGGATGGTGGCTTTGTACCCCCCATCTCATTTACATATGTGAATGATAACCCACAGGAAGTAATTGTGAGAGAGAAGGGAATTGGCCTCTTTAGATCTATTAAATCACTTTATTACAGGAACCAACTTTGAATGGCCCTCCTCAGCGGGTGGCAAGCCTCCCCTTCCCCTCCATTTATCTGATCACAGAGATTAAAATCTCTCCTGGTCTGGAGATGGGCTGGACAGCTTTCCTAATTTTGGGAGGCTGGGATATAAAGTAGGTACAAAGCTTTCTTGACTCCTTCCAAAGGCTAAGTGGGAAGACACTAAGGAGAATGTACCCTCTGAGCTGAGGTTCAGATTGGTAGAGCTGTGCCTCAGACTTAGTCTTGGGCTTCATAGCAGTTGGAAAGCTAGGGCGTCACTGGAGGAAAGCACTGACTGTCAGTACAGACCAGCCTGGAGATCTATGTCCACCAGCCCAAATTGGCAGTTTTTCTGTGTTTGGTTTTCTATTTTCTTTCTTTTTTTGACTGTCTAACTGGCTGGCCTGGAATTTGCTCTGTAGACCAGGCTGCCTCTGCCTCCTGGATATTGGGATTAAAAGCCAAGGCTCCTGGCTGGCACTCCCGACCCTGTAATTGGTGGTTTACCACAGCCTGCTGCTGGTGCTCGAGCTGGTCCCCACTCAGGCAACATTTAGGCTGGTGACCCCAGTTATCTCTTGCCGGAGGAATGTTGCAGATACTTAATCTCTAAAACGTGTTTACTCAGAAGGAGAGTGTTCATGAGGTAGAGAGGGTAAGAAGTCTTTAATGGAGCTTTCTGTTCTGGCGATGAGGTAGGTTGGTGTGGAAGGGAAGAACTTCTCTAGACGACGTTTGTCACCCATGGTAAGGGACGGGATCCAGGAATGGGTTGACAAGGTTCCCAACACCCTGTTAAAGATGGTCCTTGTGCCAATCCACAGCTAGGCCAGGAAGTCACCTTAGCCAAGTTGACCTACAGTTGGGTGACATTCCTTTGCTTTGGCCTCTCTCATGTCTGATTTGCATACCCTTCTTTCTGTTCCCAGTACGAGAGAAGGCTGAGGATGAGGGGATATCTCAGCTTTCTCTAATGCCCATTGGGTTCAGTTATAGGTCTTTTTAGATCTTGAAATCTATGTCTGGAATTGATGAGTTATAAAAACCAAACGTCACCATATCTTGTCCAGTGTCCCTTGGGAGGCAGAATCACTTCGAACTGAGAAACAGCAAGATAGTCATCATTGTTAGGAGCTGCTGAGCACCTGAAGTTTGGGTTTTAACTCTGGTTTCCTGTGGCTCAAAATGGAGGTCACCAAGATTTGTAGAAAGTGGGAAGTACAAATGTATTGGTTTTCAGCAGCTCCTCAGAACATAGTTTTATGTTTTTAAGGTAGGCTCTTTTGTAGCCCAGGCTGGCCTGATCCTCCTACCTCTATATCTCCAGTGTTGGAATTATAGGTGTGCACGACCACCATCTAGCCCAGATGAGTTTTTATTGGCTTTTTGGCTTACAGGCAAAGACTATAAAGAACTAAGTTGGGTTTGGACAAAAATTGAAGCTAAAACTGGTTGAGCCACAATGGCTTGGACTTGAGAACATACCTGAGTAACCTGAGGGTCTAGGTTCAGACAGCTGGCTTGCAGGATGTGTATAGGATCTTGCCTTCTTGGTTTATTACACTGCATTCCCAATGAGAATATCCTTTCAAGAGAAGAACTTGACAGTCTGGGTGATTTTTATAGTACATTCTTGATCTAAATGAACGAATATGGGAAGGAAAACAATGAGATGGAGGTGTCAGTGTCTTGAGGACCTTGGAGGATCAGGAGTGGAGGCTGTCTTCCAGAGGAGACAGGAAAGGCTGTAGGTGAAGCTGCTTTCTTTCTGGTTTGATTAGGATATGACCCGGCACCTTAGATTGTGCTGTGAGTGTTTGTGGGGTACATGTTGACAGCTCACAACTCCGAACCCCCAAACTTTGGCTTCATTAAGTTCAAAACCAGGACACTACCTGTTATTCCTATGTCGGTAGGAAAAGGTGGCTTAAAAATACATTTTTTTTTGTAAAGTTGGTATAAAAAGTCCATGTGTTATTTTGGCATTTTTGAAATATTTGGCCTCTTTCTGATGAGGCATGCTTCCAGAGAACGTCCTGGGTAATGCTTTGCCACCATCCCAAGCAATGCTTCCAATATGGTAAACTTCTGCCTTGTGAACCTGTACCATATCAGTGGTTTTCAGTCACTTGGTCCAGGGTATAGTGCACAACCATTGCTCAGACATTCCTAATCAGACAGTTTTAAACTTCATATATGGCCGGATGGCAGTGGCGCACGCCTCTAATCTCAGCACTTGGGAGGCAGACCCAGGCGGATCTCTGAGTTCGAGGCCAGCCTGGTCTACAGAGTGAGATCCAGGACAGGCACCAAAACTACACAGAGAAACCCTGTCTCGAAAAAAACAAAACAAAAAAACCTTTCATATATGATTTCTTTCTTTCTTTTTTCTTTTTTCTTTTTTCTTTTTTTGAGAAATCACCACCTGCATGAAGAGCAGCAAGCCTGTGTAGTCCAAGTCTGGGAGGTTGGAAGTTGAAGCAGAAAACATTCATAATTGTACATACCTTTTAAGCATGATTTCTTGTTGCTGTTAGAAACCAGTACGGTGGCTATTTCTATGGTTTTGGCATAAACTCCAGGGAGCTCTTCATTCCCATTCCCACCCTGCACTCCTTGTTCATGGCCTAGGATCGGGGTTGGATGGGAAGAAAGCCCCATGTCCTTGCAACTCCAGCTTCTTAGAGGATGGAAAGGACCAAGAAAACCACCTTGAGGAGCTGAGGTGTCAGGGCTGCCACAAGTCCCCTCGGCTCAGAGCCTCACATAGGCTGATGCACCCCCTGGTGGAGAGCTGCGGAGGAGCATCTGGCCTGGGCCACTGAGCGGAGGGGAATGGCAGTTGACATTAGGCTGGGGACATTTGTGATACCAAGCTCTGGGCCTCTAGCAATGAGGCTTGGGTAAAGCTTTGACACCAGAGTGTCGAATCTCTAAAATTAAAAAGTATTATTTAGGAGTTGAAGAGTGTGTCTAGGAAAAGTCATGGTCGGCTTGCCTTATTCGATCTTGCTGGCTAGAAAAACCAGGCTCGTGCAGTCAGCCCCACTTGCCCCTTCTTGATACTGTGATCAAGGTGCTTCTTTTTATCTGAAGCTCCGATTGGAGCTCCTGTCCAGGACACCCCCTCTGCCTGGCTCTCCCACATATATACTTGGCTAGTCTCCTCGCTTCGTTAGGGTTTCTGCTCCGATTTCTCCTCTAAAGGACATCCCTAACCTTCAAGGCGTTTATGAACCTTCTGGTTGTCGTGCCACGTGGGTCTGATAGCAGTGCTGGGCACCCTGCCGTCTAAAGTAAACATTTATAGGCATTTTGGCTACTAAACCCAGAATTGGTCACTCAAAATTGGAATGTCCCCAGGGTGCTGGAGAAGAGAGAAGGCCTAGCTTGGGTCCTGGTCAACCCTGTGGAGTACGATGAAATTCTCCCACAAAGAAAGAACGAGTGAAATGCTGTGTGCGGGCTGGAAGAGGCGCGACAGTCATCACGGAATCCCGACCTCTGCTTATTTTCGGTCCACATTTCTTAGATGACGCAGTATATGTGGGTTTAGTCAAGTGTCGATGCTGGGGTGGGGTATTTGATGTGGGAGCGGGAGGGGATTCGTCCAAAGAAAGAAGCAGAAGCCAGGAAGTGCTGTAACTCAGGAGCGGCACCAGGGAGGAAACTCGGTAACTGTGTCACGCCCCCCCCCCCTGCAGTGGCCCGAGCCCGGGTGTCCACCTGACTCACTTCAACAGGTTGGAAAAGGAAAATGGGATTCCTGCCCCCGCCGCCGCCGCCGCCTTCCCGTTGAAATATTTATCAGCTGCGGGAAGGACTTGACAGAAGGCTTCCTAGGGGAGGCATCCTCTATTAGTCCATCCTGAAGGTACAGGGAGCGTAGCGGGGGAGAGAAGATGGCTGTTAGCTGACTAGCAAACTTCCCCTTCCTGGGGTCGGACTGGGGAAGAGGTTCTTCAGCCATTCCTCTCACCCTGACCATACTGTAGAGGAAGGAAGGAAGGAACTGGTCCGCTTTGGATGTGGGGGAGGGTGGGAGAGAGCCATCCTAGGGGGGATCTGTGCCTTGGAACTCCAGGAATCCGACCACCAGAACCAACCAGTGTCAACCCTTTGTTCCCTGGGGCTGGGCTCTATTGGGGGAGCTCAGGCCATGCCCCTCCCCCCCCCAGGGCCTTTTCTTTTTGGAGGGGATGGGGAGAGGGGCGGGGCCCTTCTTTGTGTGTGGTTGGGGGGGGGTGGAAGAATTTTCAGGCTCCTTTTAGATGCTGGCCCTGGGAGTCTGGGTTGGTGGGGCTGCACACTGATTACCTATCTGATAAGGGAAGAATTCAAACTATGTTTTAGAAAGGCGTGGGGGAGGGGATGGGCAGCCACCCCTGGAGACCACCACTTTAAATCCTGCCTAGCCTTTCTGTTGAGGTGCTTGCTGGGGCGGTCTTCAGCAGATCGCTGGCAGTGCAAGGGCTGGGGGGTTAGCGAGTCTCATTGCCTCACCCATTTATACCGTCCCCCTTGGTCTCACAAGTCGTAGGAGTGGGGGGGAGAGGGAGGGTGTCGCTCTCAGTAAACTGGACCTCAGAGAGGGGCTGGGTTTTTTTTTTTTTTTTTTTGAGTTCCCGGGAATGGTTAGTAATAAAAGCAGAGTTAATCTGAGCATCCCAGCACTTGGCTCTTACTGGTACCCTGTCTCCATCCAGCCTGAAAGGAAGATAATTGGTCCTCCCTCAGGATTTTACATGGCTGGGGAAGTGTTAACTACTTTTCATGTGTAAAACCTCACATCATCACCATAAAAGCAGTATAGACTCCATTCTACAAATGAGCAAGGAGGGAACAGGCTCCTAGACTCGGTTCTTAACCCGTTATCTGCTGGATCACAGCGGGACCCAGCCTAGGCAGGAATAGCCTGGGAGGTCTGGCCCTCCAGGACCTCACTAGCTAGCTCCTCTTGGGGTTAGCGTGGTTTCTGTGCAGTTGGGGCAGAGAGGTGGGTCCTTTTGAACACTGTATTACTTTTATTTCCTTCTAAGGTTTCCCCCTCTGCCCACATCAAATTGAGGCAGTGGGGTAGGAAGCCACCACACCCTGGGTGTTCCTGTGGATGTGAAACACTAGGGAGGACCTGCGTGAGTGTGCTTAGCATGTGTAGGGCCTTGGTTTAATCCCAAGCCCCCTTTATAAGAAGTGAGAGAATGTATCTGGAATATTTCTGTGATGCAACAATTACAAATAATCTTAAAGTATTTATTGCAAGCTTAGTAGGTCCATGCCCATCAGAATCTGGACTTAACGGTCTGTTTAGGTCGAAACGTTTTGCTTGCTTTAATATGTCTACTGTGGGCCTATATCTGTTATTCTAGCATTCAGGAGACTGAGGTGAAAGATCTCCAGTTCAAGGCCAGCTGGACTACCTAGCTGGATAAACACTGCTTAAAAAAAGCAGATCTCTGAGTTCAAAGTAGTCTGGTCTACATAGTGAGTTCTAGACCAGCCAAGGCTACATAGTAGGACCCTGCCTCAAAAAAAAAAAAAGGAAAGGAAAGAAAGAAAAAGAAGGAAGGAGAAAACCAGTGCTTATCTATATTTCTGAAGAATCTTAAGGCCTAATTGATGAGCTCACATTTATGAGCATGGAGGATGGATATGGTGCCCAAGCCTGTGCTCTTCACCAACACCCTTGATGGAAGTTTTGTTTTGTTTAATATCACCTAAATTAAAACAAAAGTTAGGTCGGGTGGTGATGACACACACCTTTAGCAGAGGCAAGTGGATCTTTGTGAGTTCAAGGACAGTCAGGGTTACACAGAGAAAACTTGTCATGAAAAACAACCCCCCCAAAACCAAAAAAAGAACCCCAAAGGTTAGAATGATTGAGGAATGTGTGTCTTACGGCTAATAAATAGTGGGTTTTTTTGTGTTTTTTTTTTTTTAACTGGAATGCGAGTGGAAGTGGTTAGCGCTCTCTGACAGTCCTGGCTGGATGCACAGTGGTCCCTTTTGTTTCTCTGAACTCATTGACTTTATCTTTGTCCCTCCACCCACCCCGTGTGTGTGTGTGTGTGTGTGTGTGTGTGTGTGTGTGTGTGTGTGTGTGTGTGTGTGTGTTTGCAATAGGGTCTCTAGTTAACCATGTCTGGAACTCTATGTAGACCAGGCTGGCCTCAGGTACATGGCCTCTGCTGCACCACAAAGCCCAGGTCATTGACTCTCTTTTTGGGGAAGTGAGATCCATTGACTGCTACACAAGCAGAAGCATGGCCGTCCAGTCCCGTGTCCCACGGTGACATTCTTGGTGACGTAATTACACACTGAATCTCTCATTCTGGTTTACGCTGTGGTAAAGACTGTTCTGCTTCTGAGAAGAACTGGGAAGTGCTCTCTTCTGCACTAATAAACAACAGAGCTGGTCTGTGGTAAGGCAGCGGCTGCACACTTAGGGCTTCTGGGTTCCTTGGATGACTAGGGTCCCTTCCTTTGTAAAGGAGCTGGACTATTTGCAAACTGCTTATACCTATCGGTGTTTTTCAAGTTTCAGGTAAGGTATGCAGTATTTTCGAGAAATTATTACGTAAATCTTTATTTTGGTTCACTATCCTCATTCCAAATCAAACAATTTGTGATCTCGTTTCTCGTCGCTGGGCACGCACATGTGGTCCCAGCTGCTGAAGAGGCTGTGGCAGCAGCAGTTTGGGCAACACAGTTGTCAAAAAATAAACCGAAACCTAACTCAATGCCATGGAATACAGGTGTAGTTACGGCACTTTGGAGGCTGAGGCAGGAGAATCATGAATTTGAGGCCAGTCTGAGTGGCATAGTGAGACACAATCCAGAAACCCACACTTCTTCATTAATACATCCAAAAATGTACCCAGATGAGGTACCAAAATGTGGCGTGAACAACAAAAACGTGCTTTTGTACTTTTCTAATTTGTGTGTGCTTGTGTGTATACAGCACACGCGCCACAGTGTACACTTGGCGGTCAGAAGACCACGTCTGTCCTTCCATCTCGTGGGCTCTAGAGACTAAACTTAAGTTTTCAGGCTTGGCAGCAACTGACTTTACCCACTGAACCATCTTGCCAGCCTCCCCAATAAACCTTTTAAAATATGTGTCCTTCTGTGTGTTCTGGCCTTGAAAGTTTGTAGCTCAGGCAGGTCTTGAGCTGGAGCTCTCTGTGGAGGCCTCCTGCGTGCTGGGACTGTGGGGTGGGTAGAGGTGTGTTTGTGCAGTTTCCCCTAAGTACGTAGTAGCTTTCTGTAGATCTGTCTGATCATGTCTGACTGGTTCCGTTTTTGTTGTTCTGTTTTGAGACCACGCTGGCCTTGAACCTGCCCTTCCTCCTGAACATTGGGACTAGTGCTGTGTCAGGGTGCTGACTTGTCATTTTCTTAGCAGTTAGGCATTTCATTCCTTCAGATGTATGCTGAGCTGGCTAGTGGTGGCGCACGCCTTCCATCCCAGCACTTGGGGGGCAGAGGCAGGTGGATCTGAGTTTGGGGCCAGCCTGGTCTACAGAGGGAGTTCCAGGACAGCCAGAGATAGTCACCTATTGGCTTCTCCACACGCTCCTGGAATCTCTTTGTGACATTCCATTTTAGTCCTTGCCCCGAAACTGACTTCAGTTTTCATGATTTCAAATTTAAAGATTACAGAAATAGACAAATTCCCTTTTAATTTTCCCCCTGATTCAACATTTCACCCTTTTTACTGTATCCTTATCTCTACAGATTTTGTTGTTTGGGTTTTGTTTGTTTGATTGTTTGGGGGGGGGTGGAGAGAGACAGGGTCTCACTCTGTACTCTTAGCTGGCCTGGAACTCATCCCTCTATATAGGTCAGGCTGGCCTCAACCTCAGAGATCCATCTGCCTCTGTCTCCCACCAGCTGGGATTACAGCCTTGTACCACCACACATGGCTCAGTGATACCACCTTAGTAACCGTAAATATAGCATTAAGTATGTTTTGTTTCTGTTGAAGTATTTTCCTGTGTATTTCCTAAGAATGGAGGTGATTTCTTGCTGTTTTTAACGGGGATCCTACAATTGGGTGACAGGCATGTGCCGCCATGCTCAGAGTTTTCTCATTGTGAAATGGGAGTACTGTCTCTTCTTCCTGCCTTACAGGAACAGGTACCCGGTTTGCAGTTTCGTTCTATGGTACAGTAATGAAAGCAGACAGTAAAATCTTGTGTTTCCCTTCGTTAGAGTAAGCTGCACATGGAAGGTTTCCGGAGCCTCAAGGAGGGTGAGGCGGTAGAGTTCACTTTCAAGAAGTCTGCCAAGGGTCTGGAATCCATCCGTGTCACTGGCCCTGGTGGCGTGTTCTGTATTGGGAGTGAGCGGCGGCCAAAGGGGAAGAACACACAGAAACGAAGATCTAAAGGCGACAGGTGAGAGCCACCGGCAGCTTGTGTAAGTTGCTGAGACTGATGTTCACTCAGGTGCCACTGGAATCGGGTTACCAAAGATAACTTTAGCTTTGGCAATGCAGTCATGGCTGGCTTGAAACTCACTCTGCCCTGAGACTAGCCTCTATTGCTAAGAGTGAGTGACACTGGCTGTCCATGCTGACTTTAGAAGCAAAGGCTACGGGGTGTGATGGTACGTATCTGTTACCTACTGTTCCTTTACCGGATTGCCGAATGGTTAGTGTCTGCATTTTTGCTATGGGGCTTAAAACCTCTTAGCTCTAAAGAGGTAATATAATTTGGCTTTAAAAATTCTCTCCTAGCTGGGTGGTGGTGGCACATGCCTTTAATCCTAGCCGAGGCAGAGGCAGGTAGATCTCTGAGTTGGAGGCCAGCCTGGTTTACAGAGCGAGTTCCAGGACAGCCAGAGCTACACAGAGAAACCCTGTCACACAAAAAGGGGGTGGGGTGGGGATTCTTTCTTTAGTCAGGTCTGGTGGTATGAGCTTGTAATGCAGGACTTGGGAGGCAGGGACAAAAAAGGACTGCCACCAGTTGAAGGCCAGGCAGGAATATATAGTGAAGCCTTGTCTCAAATGAAAATAAATAGGGCTGAAGAGATGGCTCAGTGGTTAAGAGTACTTACTGCTCCTGCAGAGGACGCAGAGGAAGCCTCATCCATCCTTCAAAACTGTCCTTCACGCTTGCGATCTACGTTTGTTCTCTTGATCTTTTGAAGTTGATGTAAACCTGAAGGTCATCTAATAGACCTAGAAAAGGCATAAAGGGGAGAGAAATGATTGTAGTGATGGGCGTAGATGAGGGTGTCATACCTTTGGAGGCTTCAAACTTCGTCCCGTATCTTTCTCTCACCTTTACTGTTCTGTCTTGTACCAGGTGCTATAACTGTGGTGGTCTAGACCACCATGCCAAGGAATGCAAGCTGCCGCCCCAGCCCAAGAAGTGCCACTTTTGCCAAAGCATCAACCATATGGTGGCCTCATGCCCACTGAAGGTCCAGCAGGCCCCCACTTCTCAGGGGAAGCCTGCCTACTTCCGGGAGGAAGAGGAAGAGATCCACAGCCCTGCCCTGCTCCCAGAAGCCCAGAATTGAGGCCCTGGAGTGGGGGCTATTCTTTTGTTATTGGGGAGTTTCAAGGAGGAGGCATCAATCGGCAGGATGGAGAAAGTGGGATGGGGTGGGTTGCGGGTGGCTGGCATTGCCATGTTTCTCAGGCCGGGGTTCCCAGGATCACCCTGTCTTCCCTTGGTGGGGGGAAAGGGAGAGTCAATGGAAACTCCAACCATGCTTTATCTACATGCAAGTGAAGGAACCTGCATGCCTTAGCTGAGGCTTGAACCCAACACGACATGCTTTTGAAAGTGGCTGGGATAGGAAAGTCCTTCTGTAGAAGGCTGTGTGATATTTCCCTTGCCAGACAGGGTGTGAAACAAGTGCAAAACCACATCAATGAACTTAACCCTCCAGCTACTACATCCTGTGGGAGGGACTCGCAGGAGCCAGGCAAGGGTTTTCTTTCCACATCTTGCTTACTCATAACCCAGTCCTGGGGTGCGGTGCTGGGAACAGTGTCCAGCAGTGGGTTGTGATGACAGGCAGAGGGTAGCTGGGCAGGGGACAGTCGCAGACCTGCTGTGCTCCCTCACTCCCAGCCCTTCCTGGGCCAATGTGATTTTAATTTATTTGCGCCCTTGGGTAACTGCACCTTGGTTCCACTTCCTCCAGGATGCCAACTGCACTGTCTGTGTGCGAATGACGTATCTTGTGCGTTTTAGTTTTTTTTCCTTAATATAAATAATGGGTTTGTATTTTTGTATATTTTAATCTTAAGGCCCTCATTCCTGCACTGTGCTCTCAGGTACACAAGCAATCTCAGGGATAAGTCCAAGCAGCTCCAGGTCTGCGCAGCAGGAATACTTTTTGTTTAGATCACCATGGAGACCAACCATTGGAATGCACAGCCTATTGAACTACCTCATTTTTGCCAATTACAGATGGCTTTTCTGCCATATAGTCCTTAAAACCTCCGTCCACCTTAAAATGTCTCACAGGAGGCTAGGTTTTAATTAAGCTACCCATGACTTGATCTCACTTTTTTGGGCAAAAGATTGGAAATTACACAGGAAAAGGTGGTACAGAGATGTCAAAAAGCTGGGCCAGGTGAAAGGCACAAGAGTCATTTTCCATCCCAAATCCATCCTTCACCAGATTAGTCTGCCATACACAGCAGGGTGTGAGTGTGTATGTATGTATGTGTGTTGGTTTTTTAAAATGCAAATTTATGAGGATGAGGTTTTTTTGTTGTTTGATTGTTTTTAGATACTGGGATTGAACCTTGGGCCTCATTTGTGCTAGGATGTACCCTGCCACTGGGTTCTCCTGGTAAGGATGCAGCCTAAGACCAACACCCTTAGTCCCACACTGTGCTGTCTAGGGATGGGGACGTGAAACAAGGACTCGAATCCTTAGCCTTTCACAACCTTGGCTTCCAGAGGGACTCTAGGAGTGTGGGCCTCTGTGGCAAGGGTCCTGTCCTGCTGCAGTGTCATGGTTGGTAGCTAAAGGAGAAAAGGGGGTTTCGTTTACATGCTGTGAGATCACCGCACACCTACCTCACTGTGTTGAAACGGGGCAAATGCAATAGAGCACATTGGGTGGGGTGTGTCTGATCCTGGTTCCTTGTCTCCCCCAAATGCTGCCCCCCTCTAGTTATTGTAGTCGTCTGGCCTTTGTAGGACCTCACTGTCTGAGTTGGTGATTGCTAGGTGGCCTCGATGTGTAAATATAATGTGTTGGTCTTCATGTTGTTTTGGGGTTTTATTGTTTACAAAACTTTTTGTATTGAGAGAAAAATAGCCAAAGCATCTTTGACAGAAAGTTCTGCACCAGATGACAGACAGCATGAAACCTAAGGGTGGGGTCCTCTTCTCAAAGGGAGCCTCTGGAACCATGGTTCCCCTTCTGTTCTCTTCCCATCTCCCGTTTTGGACCGCATTCCCTGACCTTAGAAAGCTCCCATACCACCCTCTTCTCCCTCGTAAGAAACTTACATACATTTCCTTCGTGGAATGTCTCTACAACTCTTGAATGACCCACGTAAAAAATCTGAAGAAGCCATGAACCTCACTCACCCCTTGTTCCCAGACTCAGTCAAGAGTTTTGGTTGGTGGTTTTGAGACAGGGTCTCACTCGGTAACCCAGGTTAGCCCCAGATCCTGGGCTATCCTCCTGCCTTAGCCTCCTCAGTGCCGGGCTCGCAGGTGAGTCGCTTCTCCCTGGCAAGACCATTTCTTGGTGTGATTCACTTTGGATGGATCAAACCAACTTAGTCTATAACCCTTAGGTAGAGAGAAGCAATTGTGGGGCCTTCCATCTGAAGACCAGAAAAGGAATATGAATGTATAAGTCAAGTCACTCAGGAACTTAATGCCGGTGCAAGAAACTTATGTCAAAGTGGCCACAAGATTGTTACTAGGAGACGGACGAATGTAACTCCATGTTTACTGCTAGAAACCAAAGCTTTGTGAGAAATCTTGAATTTATGGGGAGGGCGGGTGGGGAAAGTGTGTACTTGTCTGTCCTTTCCCTGATCCCTTCTCTGTCCTGAACTGCAGGAGACTGAGCCCCTCGGGCTTTGGTGGCCCCACCACTGGGGTGTTTATTTCATGGTTGATTTTTTTTTTTCTTGTACCCGGGTACTTATATTCCTATCGTATAATCATTTTGTAACACATGCTGACTTTCCCTTCCCTTCTTCCCTGGGAAAATAAAGACTTATTGGTACTCAAAGCTTGGTCCTCAAACTGTTCTCTCATCAGATATGTAGGCTGCTTTTCACTTCCCATAATCCCCACCTTGGATTGGGAAGTCACAGAAGCATTAAGTTTTCCCCTTCCCACTTTGTTAGGGATGAATCTTGAAAGTTCAACCCTTGTAGCACCTCATTACACTGGATTTTTGTTTCTAGTTAAGGCCTCTTGTCCCTTCCTTGGAAGCTGCCACATTCAAGAGGGGATTAGAGGCCTGGAGTGCATAAGAATGGGGATGCCTGTGCCACTGGCTGGGATGAAAGGATGGGGCCAGGGCTTAGGGCATGAGACCCCAATAATACTTTGTCCTTTACTCCTCAAAGCCCTTTACAAATCCTAATTAACCCCTTGCAACACCCCAAAAAAGGAAAGTGCCAGGCAGAACTGGGGAAATTGAGGCCAAAGGAGATTCACTGACTATAAACCAGTATTTTGAGATACAGTTTGCTAGCTTTCTAATGAATGCTTAAATGTTTTCTAAAGGATAGGAAGATTTTAATGGGGGAAGGGGGAAGAGAAGAACTTGACCAGAGGGAAACCTAAGTATTAATAGAAGGTGGATTAAAGAAATCCTCACACTGTTAGCAGAGCACAGGGGGGTTGTGACCCTTTAACTAATTGCACCAAAAGTTAAACCTAGCAATGCTAACTACTGGGCTTCATTGAACTAACGGGCTTCCTGAAAAATCGTATTATTAGCAGAAACTTCACAGCTCTCAGAGGAGAGAGAATGGAAGTGTAAGACCTGATGAATGGGTTATTGATCTCCACAGCTTTGTTTGATCACATTTCTGTTAAAACTGCACTTTCATCAGGGAAAGCTCGGACGGGCGGCATCTCTTCCTTGCCGTTATCCTTGAGACTGCAGGGCAAATGAGGTACAAAGGTTCTCGGGAATTGTGAAATTCTAGTACAGATGCAAGTATGGTTTGAAACCAAGGCTAGTTGCATCAGATACAAAAAGTGCAGGGATTTGTTTTTTGTGTTTTAAGCTTTGAGAAAGAACAACGTCTTCCCAATCAGCATCACTAAGGAAAAGTCCATAGATTATACTTTCAAGGAGATGTCCCCTGAAGCCCATGGTAGCTCCAATTTTGTTTGGTATCCAGAAGTCCTGCAAGATTTGGTATACAGCCAATGCTTTTGATTTCTCACTTTACTTCACTGTGGTCTTTTTGTTCTGTTCTTTACCTTGTCTCTATTTTTCTTTCGTTTTCAGGCTGGGTTTCCCAGTGAAGCCCATGCTAACTTCAAACTCCAGTCACCTAAAGTGCTGATTCTCCTGCCGTCCACAGCCACCATGCTCCCTCTCGTGCTGGGCTGGAAACTGAACCCAGAATTTCTGGTGTGCTAGGCAAGCCCCACCTCGGCTCTATTCCCCAGCAAATTATAAATATACTCTGGATGTCTTAAGTCAGCCCAAACAGTGACCAGAGGAAGGAACCTGTTTCTGATCAGTTAATAGTACTAAAGGGCGATAAGCAGAAATACGTTAATTAAAAAAAAAAAAAAAAAAAAAAAAGCAATATCCTATATAGATCAAGTTGGCCTCAAATTTACTATGTAGCAGAGAAGACCTTGAGCTAATCCTGGCCTCAGCCTCCAGAGTGCTGAGTTCAGTGACAGTGAGCCACTATTTCCCGCTAAAAGTACAACTTTAAGACTAAATTGCAGCAGAGCTTTAAAAGGAATCCAGTTCAGCCCTGCACGGTTTACGATCATAACTCCAGTAGTTGGAGTCTGCGGCAGGAGGATTGCAGACAGTACAGTGTTACGGTGTCTCCCAAGATATAAGCACAGTAGTCACCCAAAGAGAAACTGGTTTCTGAGGTGCAGCAGCCCCCACCGCCCCGCCCCGCCCCACCTCCCCCCGGCCGTCCTGAGGGTAAATGCCCCAGCACCTGAAGCGGCTCAGGATTGGTGGTAGTGTGCGGGAATCAGGACCTGGCCGGGCTTCAATTAAACTCCCCGGACCACGTGACCTCGGCCTCCCAGGCCGCTGTTGTCCACGCCCCACTGCGGGAGCGTTCACCAATCGCCGATTCTCAAGAGTTCGCACCACGCCGAGTCCGCAGGCGCAAGGCGTGGCTCCGCCCACCATGGACGGAGGAGGAGGTCCTAGCGCACAGCGGTGACGTGTTCTTCCAGCGCCACGTCGTGAGTCGCCCGGGAGTGGAAGAAGTCGGCTTCCCGCGGCGCCCTAGAGTGAACCAGCGACCCAGAGGAGGGGACGGTGGGTGAGGTGTCGGCCGCGACAGGCATTAAGGTCCGGCCGGAGGAGAGAGTCTGAGACCACCAAGGTGACAGGTGCGGCAGCCGATGGGGGTAGTGATTGGGTAACTCGGAGTGAGAAATGGCTTGCGGAAGAAATGAGGAGGTAGTTGCGGGGAGCCACCAAGAGGTAGGCACCATGATATGGCAGGATATTAGGAAGAAATCAGTGCACATCAGAAGGAAAAGAAAATGGGAACCACCTTGTCCCAAAGGTCTCCCGTCGGCTCGTGCAGGCCTGAGAGGTTAGACCAGTGTCTCGGCATTCAGATGCTGGCCGCTTGCCCAAGTCCAACAGAGTCCCTTTAAGTCGGGTTTGTTTATTTGCAAGCATGGACGACTTCTCTCTCTTTTCATTTATTCAAGGTTATCTGGTTGTTATTTTGTTCTGGGGTGTTTTCTGACATAGCGAGAACTATGTCATGGATCAAAGAAGGAGAACTGTCGCTTTGGGAACGCTTCTGTGCCAATATCATAAAGGTAAGCAGCAGCCCAGAGGGCAAGTTGACCTTTTGGATAGTTGAGTAATCTTATCAAAATTCATTATTAAATTGTAGCAATCTCTGTTGTTAAGTGGAGTTTAGCAAAGAAACGAGATAATCTTAAACTTATAATGTAGCTTGCAGGGCTGCATTTCTATTGTTTATTGTTCCGAGTGACTTTTTTTTTTTTTTTTTTTTTTTTTCCCCGAGACAGGGTTTCTCTGTGTAGCTTTGCGCCTTTCCTGGATCCTGCTCTCTAGACCAGGCTGGACTCGAACTCACAGAGATCCTCCTGACTCTGCCTCCCGGGTGCTGGGATTAAAGGTGTGCGCCACCACTGCCTGGCGACTTATTTTTTTTTAAAGGTGAACCAGGATCTCTTAATATCATTGGACAACATAGACTGTTAGATTTTCCTTCTGGAAAATTGAAATTTTGGCGATGGGAATGTACAAAAAGCTCACTGGTAGGATGTTTGCTTCGTATGTACAAGACCCTGAGTTTGAAAAAAGAGAGAGAATGTGAACGTGAATTAGCATGAACTGAAATTTGTCTCCCCAGAGCAGTATTCTCAACCTATGGGTCGTGACCCCTATGGGGGTTGAATGACCCTTTCACAAGGTTGCATGTTAGATATCTTACATATCAGATATTTGCATTATGACTCATAACAGTAGCAAAAGTGCATTTATGAAGTAGCAACAGAAATAATTTTATGGGTGGAGTCACCACCCCATGAGGAACTGTATTAAAGGGTTGCAGCGATAAGAAGGTTGAGAAACACTGCTTTAGAGCCTCCATCCACTTTTCCTTATACTATCTACTGAGTTAATCTTTCTTTGATGGTTAAGACTTCGAACAATAGCGGCAGACAGCCATGAAGGAAACTCCTGTTATTTATCAGCTCTGTGGCTTAACAAACGTGCCTTTATGAGTATTAAATGAAATATGTACGCAAAGAACTTAGTACAATTTCTAGTGGTACTCTTTTATTTATCTCAGTGTCAGGGTATATGCTATACGTGTGGAGGTCATTGAACAACTTTCGGGAGTGGGTCATGGGGATTGAACTCAAATTATCAGGCTTTGGGAAGGCAAGCACCTTTACCAGCTGAGCCGTCTCGAAAGGCCTCATCAGGAATCACAACCATGTCGTATTGTGTGCATGAGACATGTTTTTGATGAAAGCCAGTAGCCTGCCCTTTTTTTTTTTTTCCTACAGACAGTCAAGCAGCATGTAACAATGAATTTCAGTCAGTAAGCTTTGTATCTTCACATACTCATATACGAATGCCAAGTAATCACAAGCAGGTCAGAAATGGAAACTTTCTCCTTAGGAAACTGTATGCAAGCTTCGTGTTGGCAAATATGAGCTGCTTGACTAGGTTAGATTTGTTAAAAGGCTTTATGTAGCAAGACAAAAGGAGAAGACAGTGGAGGGCTGAGCTGGAAAGATGGCTTAGTGGATGAAGGTTCCTCCCACCAAGTGCAGTAACCTGAGTTCAGCCCCCATTACTTACAGGGCAGAAGGAGAGAACTGACTCTTAGAAGTTGTCCTCTGATCTCCACATCAGAACACACACACACACACACACACACACACTAAATAAATGTAATTTCGAAAAAGTTAGAGACCAAAAGGAACAAATAATGAGTTAATAAAAGAGTTAAATTAATTGAACAGATTTAAGATAAATACAAATGGTCAATTAGTACCTGAAAAAAAATGCTCAGTATCTGTAGCTACAAGGTAAACAAAACTCAAAACTCGCTGGGTGGTAGTGGCACACACATTGAATCCCAGCACTTGGAAGGCAGAGGCAGGCAGATCTCTGTGAGTTTGAGGCCAGCCTGGTCTACAGAATGAGATCTAGGACAGCCAGGGCTACACAGAGGAACCCCGTCTTGAAAAACAAAACAAAAATCAAAACTCATTAAGATCAAATTAGAAAGGGCTAGAGAGATGGTTCAGTGG